AAAAAGCACATTGTGCAGTCTCTGGCCTGTATATAATTACATAGTCTAATGAGTGCCAATGCTTTGACCAGGGATGCTTCCATGTTGTCTTGAGCTTGTTTTTCTGGTGGAAGTGTGTGTTAGAAAATGCTGATCATTTCCACTACCTTTGCAGCCACCTCTCCACAAAAGTCAACATTGACACTGAAATACAATACTGCCTGTGCAGCATTTTTTCGAATGAAGCAAAGAGTGTTTGGGGATTGGGATATTCGTAGGGAGACCAAGATGCTTGTTTATAAAGCTATTGTCCTTTCAGCCCTGTTATATGCATGCAAAATGTGGACCGTCTACAGATGTCACATTGCCTCCAAAAAATCCTACAAATCTCTTGGGAAGACAGGCGGACAAATGTCAGCATTCTAGAAAAAGCAAAGACCAACAGCATTGACATGATGAACCTGGACTGGCCACTATTGTCTGAATGCCTGATCACCATCTCCCAAAGCAGTTACTATATTTCCAACTCAAAATTGGAAAACGGAATGTTGGTGGACAGAAAAAGAGATTTAAAGATGAGTTTCAAGCCAACCTTAAAAACTATGGCATAGACACTGAAAACTGGGAAGCCCTGGCCCTTGAGAATTCTAACTGGAGGACAGCTGTTACCAACAGTGTTGTGAAATTCAAAAAGGCACAAATGGAGGGTGAAAGAGAGAAACATGTCAAGAGGAAGGCGTGTTAAGCCAACCCTTGTTGGGACTGCTTTCCATCTGGAAACCAGTCCTGACTGTGAAAGAATATAGAGATCAAGAATAGGTCTCTACACTCACCTACAGATCCATTGACAAGATCCTACATTTGGAAGGCAATCATACTCAGCCAAAAGGGATTGCCGATGATGATGATGATGATGATGATGATGATGATGATGAGTCTACACTGCCATATAATCTAATTCAAAGCAGATATTATGAATTTTATATGGCAGTGTAGATGGGGCCTCTGCCCCAGAGTGAATTTATGTGGTAAAGAGTTTGACCCCTATTTAACTGTTGTCTCCATGCTGTGGAATCCTGGGATCTGTAGTTTGGTGAGGCACTATCACTCTTTAGCCAGATTAATAACTGGGGCCTCTTACAGGGAGCGGTCAACCCCCCTGTTTAAAGAGCTCCATTGGCTTCCATTCATCTTCTGGTTCTAATTCAAGGTTCAGGATCTTACCTATAAAGCCCTAAACGGTTTGGGACCGTATCTTTCTCCACGAACCAGCCTGAACTCTTCGATCTTCGGGTGAGGCTCTCCTCTCACCCTTGCCAGTCTCTCAGACTCACCTCGTGGGTACAAGGGAGAGAGCCTTCTCCTCTGTGGCCCCTTGACTCTGGAACTCATTGCCGGAGAGATTAGGAAAGCTCCTACTTTAGAAACTTTTAAAAAGAGTCTCAAGACCTGGCTCTCCCATTGCGCCTTTGGAGAGTAGCCACACAACTTCATGCTACTGCTCCCTCAGCGTTCCTGTCCCAGGAGTTTCTCCCCGCCCCCCTTGTACATAGGTTTGTTTATTATCCCATCTCTCCATGAGTTACAATTAGTTTTACCCCTTTATCTCACTCGGAGTTTTTAAATCATTTTATGTACATGCGGCCCACTCTTTGTCCTTATGTTTGGTTCTTATGTTTTATGTATATTGTTTATATGCTTTGATGTTTTATACTTTAATGTTATGTTGTTTATTTTATTATAATTTTGTATTCTTTGTATTGTAATCTGTTGTTCGGGCTTGGCCCCATGTAAGCTTCTCCGAGTCCCCATTGGGGGAGATGGTGGTGGGGTATAAATAAAGATTATTATTATTATTATTATTATTATTATTATTATTATTATTATTATAGCAGAGAAAGCTAAAAACTATGTAAAACTACAGCTCCCATTATTCCACAGATTTCTTTGGCTCCTTCACTTCCAACACATATTTGGAACTGCTATAGTTCTATTAGTGATTTCTGTTTCCACTATGCAAAGAGATCTTATCTTACCTTAACTTTGGCCCTCGAGGTGTCTTGGACTTCAACTCCCACAATTCCTAACAGACTACTGGCTGGTTGAACCAAATGAGTGGCCTAAGCTTTCATGGGCTGCCTTTCCTTGGGAGCAACATCCTCATGACCAGAATGCCTTTGGGGGTATTATTGGTATTCTTACTCCAGTTGTCCCTCAAAAGGATAAGGGATTCATGCTTAGTGTGCTCGATAGCCAACCATCCATCCAAGGCTGGAGAATGAGAAACGAAGCCTTTATTATACATAGTCCATAAAGAAAGGGGCACTTAGTAATCATTTGCAAGCAAGCACACCCCTTTAGCTATTTAAAAGTGTTTTTAATGCTTTCCTAACTAACAGCATGCTTCTTTCTAATGGGTTCACAACACATAAGAGAAGTGAACATGGCCATGCACTCGCTACTAAAACATTTCACAGCTACTGGCTGTTAGGAATTGTCCAAAACACCTGAAGGGCTGAAGTTTGCCCATGCCTGAACTATATACACAATAGAAGGAATGCAGTGTGACAACACTTTAACTGCTTTGGCTCAATGCTGCGGAATACATGGAGTTTTAACCTTCTCTGCAAATGAGTGGTTTTGCCTCATCAAAACCTAACTCCCACTGAGCCAAGGAAATTAAAGTGATGTCAATTTGCTTTAATTCCACATCATTGATGCATTCTATGTATTGTTGAAGGCTTTCATGGCCGGAATCACTGGGTTGTTGTAGGTTTTTTGGGCTATATGACCATGTTCTAGAAGTATTCTCTCCTGACATTTCACCTGCATCTATGGCAGGCATCCTCAGAAGTTGTGAGGTCTGTTGGAAACTAGGAAAATTGGGTTTATATATCTGTAGAATGTCCAGGGTGAGAGAAAGAACTCTTGTCTGCTGAAGCTAGGTGTGAATGTTTCAATTGGCCACCTTGATTAGCATTTGATGACCTGACAGTTTTTAGGTGTGGCTTGTTAGTGCCTGGGGAATCCTTTGTTGAGAGGTGATTAGCTGGCCCTGATTGATTCTTGTCTGTAGTTCCCCTGTGTTTGAGTGTTGTTTTTAGTTTACCTGTCCAAACGTATCTCCCTCTATGAATCACCAAGGACCTTAAGATTATCTGGTGGGGCCCTGCTCTCGGTCCCACCGCGATTGCAGTCACATTTGGTGGGGACAAGAGACAGGGCCTTCTCTGTGGTGGCCCCTCAGCTGTAGATCTTCCTCCCTTATGAGGTTAGATTTATTTATTTATGACATTTATATGCCGCCCTTCTGACCCCAAAGGGGACTCAGAGTGGCTTAGAAGATATATATACATACATACATACAATATATTAAATTATTAGCATAGTACACTATCAGTATTATATGTTACTATATTGTACTACACCATTATATTGTAATATTTTATTAGTATACTAGCCGTCCCCTGCCACGCGTTGCTGTGGCCCAGTCTATTGATCTCGAAAATAAAATAATGAGAACATGTTGGTTTCTAATATATTTAATTTCTTTATGCTTGTGGGTAAACATTATTTCTTGTTGTTTCTTTGTCAGTCTTGATGTAGAGATTGTCTGGTTTCCTTCAAAGTCCAGTTGTGTTCGTATTTGGGCAAATGGAATATTTGTGCCAAGTTTGGTCCAGATCCATCATTGTTTGAGTCCACAGTGCTCTCTGGATTTAGGTGAACTACATCTTCCAAACTCACGGTCAATGCCCACCAAACCCTTCTAGTGTTTTCTGTTGGTCGTGGGAGTTCTGTGTGCCAAGACAGGTTCAGTTCCTTCATTGGTGGAGTTCAGAATGCTCTTTGATTGTAGGTGAACTATAAATCCCAGCAACTACAACTCCCAACATCTATTTTTTGAGTGATGGTCACTCCTTGGGTTAGTAAGTGTTTTGTGGCCAAATTTGGTGTCACTTCCCCCAGTGGTTTTTGAGTTCTGTTAATTCCACAAACGAACATTACATTTTTTAATATAGATTATACATTATATATATCAATGGTATTCCCCATAGTCACCTACGGATGTGAGAGCTGGACCTTAGGGAAGGCTGAGCAAAGGAAGATAGATGCTTTTGAACTGTGGTGTTGGAGGAAAGTTCTGAGAGTGCCTTGGACCACGAGAATATCCAACCAGTCCATACTTCAGGAAATAAAGCTCAACTGCTCATTGGAGGGAAGCATAGTAGAAACCAAAATGAAGTACTTTGGCCACATCATGAGAAGAAAGGAAAGCTTAGAGAAGACAATGATGCTGGGGAAAATGGAAGGAAAAAGGAAGAGGGGCCGACCAAGGGCAAGATGGATGGATGGCATCCTTGAAGTGACTGGATTGACCTTGAAGGAGCTGGGGGTGGTGACGGCCGACAGGGAGCTCAGGCGTGGGTTGCTCCATGAGGTCACGAAGAGTCGGAAACGACTGAACGAATGAACAACAACAAATATTATAAACATATTATAGATCTGCCCTATCCCTTCTGATCTTCCGGAAGAAACTTAAATCCTGGCTGTGGGATCAAGCTTTTGCAGAACAGACTGATTTGCTGGTGAAGATAAAGTTTTAGTGGACTGCAATGGACTGATTTGGATGACAATTTGAACCGGCAAACTGTTTCAATGTATAACTGTTTTTAATGTATGCTAATTGTATTTTATGTTATGATATTACAGTGTGTCGGCATGCAATAGTTGCCTGTTGGAAGTCCTCCCGAGTTCCTCTTTGGAGGTTGAGAAGGACGGGGTATAAATGTTCTAAATAAATTAATAATAATTTTAGAGTTTTTTAATACTGGTAGCCAGATTTTGCTCATTTTCGTGGTTTCTTCCTTTCTGTTGAAATTGTCCACATGCTTATACATTTCAATGGCTTCTCTGTGTAGCCTGACGTGGTAGTTGTTAGAGTGGTCCAGCATTTCTGTGTTCTCAAATATGCATTCTGGCAACCAAGGCAGACAGCCCCTAGCTTAGCTCCGCCCCTTTCTGGAGTCCGGAAGTGCCCGCTTCCTGCGAGTCTCGGGCAGCCAATGAAACGCCGCGGGGAACCCAGTTCCCGAATGTTGGCTTGGATCATGTGACTCTGTTTCGCTTTCGGCGGCGGTGTTCTAAAGGGGAAAGGCTTCTTGTATATACGTTTTGCAATAGCAGCAGCAGCCATGGGCTTCATGGTGTTCTTCCTGCTCTGTGTGCTGTTGGGCCTCTGCGCCGCCCAGAGCCCTTTCCCTGCTGCAGAGAGGCTGGAGGAGGAAGGGTCTCCCTGGCTGGGGCTGCCGGAGGAGCTGCTGCACCCGGAGGTGGAGCCGGAGTGCCGGGAGCTCTTGGCCGGCTTTGCCAACAGCAGCGTGAGGCTCAGCGGGTGCCTGGTCCGCCACGCCCGGCCCGTCACCGTCTGCCAGAACTGCTACCGGCCCTTCCGCGAAGTCACCGAGCACCTGGAGAACATCAGCCGCGCCGCTGGGGTGCGTCCACACTGCGAGATTAACGCGCTCTGACGCCGCTTGAACTGCCGCGGAATCCTGGGAGTGGTGGTTTTACATGGCCTTCTCTGCCGAAGAGGGCTGGGGCCTCACCAAACTACAACGCCCAGGATTCCGCAGCAGTTAAAGGGGTGTCAAACTGCATTCATTCAACATACAACCAAAAAATACAGGATTGGGAATGAGTTTTTGGGCTGTATCCACTCTATAGAATTAAAGTACAGTAAACTCCCAATTAACCGGAACTCTCAAGCAACCGGTAGAAAGAAAGAAGAAATAGTACTTTAAATAAAAATTAAAACATGTACAATACAGGAAAACCTCTACGTTAATTTGAAGCTATTGGCTTTTAATTACTGTATTTCAATATCAAGCCAATACATCAGGTATGAGCAAACTTTGGCTTTCCAGGTGGTTTGGACTTCAACTCCCACAATTCCTAACATGGCTGTTGCCTCCTTGGCAATCCTATTTCGAAAGTGTCAGGAAAGTCTTTTCGTATTATCTCGGGCTGTCATGAGGTGGTCCAAACACTGCTTGTTTCTCTCTTCTGTCTAAATATTAACTCTAGAGATACAATTCTCATTTGGAAAGTCAACTACCGGTACTTTGCTCACTGTTCTGAGAGAAGACAGGAGGCCTACTTATGGTAGAGGAAGAAGGTACAAGAAGGATCTTATGCAACAAGGGTTATGAATTGTCCTTGGAAATTTTCAAGGGGATAAGGACAGTAGCAGTTGGTAGTGGGATGTAGCCCATACTCTGGGTGCATCTGCACTGTAGAACAAATGCAGCTTGACACCATTTTAACTGTTGTGGGTCATACCAAAATTCATAATTTTGCTTGCAAAGCCTGCCCTCGACTTATAGATGTGGCAGATTTATGCACGTGTATATATCAGGAATGGGCAGGCTTGGCCCTCAAACTGTTTTGGACTTTAACTCTCACAATTCCTAACAGCCAGTAAGCTGGCTGGGATTTCTGGAAGTTGAAATCCTCACAGCAACCCAAACATACTACTACTACTACTACTACTACTAATAATAATAATAATTAGTAGTAGTATTATGTTTGGGTTGCTGTGAGCTTTCTAGGTTGTATGGCCATGTTTCAGAAGCATTCTCTCCTGACATTTCACCCACATCTATGGCAGGCATCCTCAGAGGTTGTGAGGTCATTATTATGTTTATTCATATCCCACTTGTTCTTTCCACAAGTAGACTCAAAGTGGCTTACATTAAAAGTATTTCAATACAGTAATCCAAAACACCTAAGCGCCAAAGTTTGCCCATGCCTAGTATATAGTAAATGTTGAAGCAGCACTACGTAAAATGTTAGCCTGCCAACCAGTCCAGTCTATTGTTTGCGCCATATTTACTGTATGTGAGATGACCAGTGATGATTCTGAAGTTGCGGGAACCTCAATGAACAGATGTCTGATTCTGGCTGGAAAATAAGGATGAGCCTGACTAATTCTGCCACACTGAGATTCTGTCATTCATGCATTTGGAGTCAGTCCATTTGAACTAAAAACACATGGAAAATGTTGATTTTCACCCAATATTTCCTTGTGTCTGCAGTCTGCATTTTTTGTTGTCAGGACTTACTCGGTTTAGTAGAAGGCCAGTCTCAGTGAAGATGAGACTAGATCACAGTTGATTTTGATGTCAAATTGTACATTCTCATAGCAGAACATCATGCAGTAAAACAACAACATTGGTTTGTCCAGAATGGCCTGCATCACTGCAGAGTATTTTAGCTATTTATTTTGTTTTATTCAGCTAACCAAATTCAATTAGCAACATCTAGGAAGTAAAATGTTAAGCAGGAACAACCAGAAATGGGAAATTGACTTATTGTGAGTGACATATCACAAATTTGAGCTTTTGTGGCAGATTTTAATCATTTCCTAAGCTGCCTTTGAGTCCATTTAATGAGCGCAAGGAAGCTGACTCAAACCAAGCGTGCATCTGCAATACTGAATAAATGCCGTTTGATACCACTTTAACTGCCATGGCTTAGTGTTGTGGAATCATGGGAGCTGTAGATAGTTAGCAGTGAGCTGTGGCAATTAAAATGGTGTCAAACTGCATTATTTCTAAAGTGTAGATGCACCCTAAATCCAATGTTTTTGTTTCTTGTGTTATAAACCTAATTTTTCGGTTAAGTTTTTCTTTTAATATTGTGGTTGTATGACATTTCTCTTATATTGAATTTATACATTCATATACTTGTATATGGTATTTCAAAAGGTGTAACTTGTTTTTGTATCACAGCTTCCAGAACGCCATAGCTAGCACAGGCAGTGGAGAGTTCTGGAAATTGTAGTTCTGAAAAAATAACTGTCTCAAGCTTAACTGGGGTATTCTACAGGGAGCGGTCAACCCCCCTGTTTAAGGAGCTCCACTGGCTGCCATTTATTTTTCGGTCCCAATTCAAGGTACAGGTTATCACCTACAAAGCACTAAACGGTTTGGGACCCACCTACCTTCGTGACCGTATCTCTCTCCACGTACCAACCCGGGCCCTTCGTTCCTCGGGGGAGGTCCTCCTTTCACCTTTACCAATCTCACAAGCTCATCCTGTGGGCACAAGGGAGAGAGCCTTCTCTTCTGTGGCCCCCTGGCTTTGGAATTCCTTACCTGGGGAGATCAGGAAAGCCCCTTCACTAGAACCGTTTAAAAAGAACCTCAAAACCTGGTTTTTCCGCTGCGCCTTTGGTGAGTAGGTGCACAGCATGATATTTTGCACCCCTCAAGGTTTTCTGCTAATGGAGTTCGTGCCCTTCAAATAGGATGTTTAGCCTCACAACTCTGTGTGTTTTATGAGTTCCATATAAATGCTCTGCTCCTATTTTATCTCATCATAGTTTGTTAACTTTTTTATCCTGAATATGTGGCCCGCCCATTGTCATCCTTACTGTGATTATTATTATTATTAAACTTTATTTGTACCCCGCTAGCATCTCCTGCAGGACTCGATGCGGCTTACAAAGGCCAAGGCTCAATACACAACATAACAATACATCTAAAGCAAATTAAAAACACTTAAAGCAATATTAAAACAACAAGCAATAAACAATACACCAAAACGCAGTAAAACTGGGCCGGACCAGAGTAAAGGGTATAGGATTAAAAGTGCTGATGTGACAGGTAATATGTAAGGCTTATAGGGCAAGTGCAGTGTGCAGTGTGCGGCAATCATAATTCTAATAAAGTGCTTATGGGACTTGGTATTGGAGATTTCCTATTCAGGGAAGGCACATTGGAACAGCCAGGTCTTCAAGTTCTTTCTGAAGACTGCCAATGTAGGGGCCTGTCTAAGATCTTTGGGGAGGGTGTTCCAGAGTCGGAGGGCCACCACGGAAAAGGCCCTGTCCCGTGTCCCCACCAAGCGCGCTTGCGACGCAGGTGGGATCACGAGCAGGGCCTCTCCAGATGAACGAAGTGAGTGCGTGGGTTCGTAGACGGAGATGCGGTCACGCAGGTAGGCAGGTCCCAAACCATTCAGGGCTTTGTAGGTAAGCACCTGCACCTTAAATTGGGCTCGGTAGATAAACGGCAGCCAGTGGAGCTCCTTGAACAGGAGGGTTGACCTCTCTCTGTAAGGAGCGCTGGTTAACAACCTGGCCGCTGCTCGTTGGACCAGTTGGAATTTCCGAGCCGTTTTCAAGGGCAGCCCCACATAGAGCGCATTACAGTAATCCAACCTAGAGGTGACCAAGGCATGGACCACCCCGGCCAGGTCAGCCTTCGCGAGGTATGGTCGCAGTTAGCGCACGAGTCTTAGTTGTGCAAAAGCCCTCCCGGACACCGCTGACGCCTCAGCCTCAAGCGTAAGCGATGAGTCCAAGAGGACTCCCAAACTGCGGACCTGTGGTTTCAGGGGGAGCGTAACCCCGTCCAACACAGGTTACTACCCTATACCCCGGTCAGGTTTACGATCGACCAGGAGGACCTCTGTCTTATCGGGATTGATCTTCAGCTTGTTCCTCCTCATCCAGATAGACACAGCGGCCAGGCACTCGTCCAGCATCCGAGAGGCCTCCTTGGAATTGGGTGGAAATGAGTAGTAGATTGTGTTTATTGTATTGTTTATTTTATGATTTTTTTCTTTTAATGTCATTTTGATAATGTTGTTGTTTGCTGTATATGTTTTGATTTTATTCCTGTATTATGTTGTCCGGGCTTGGCCCCATGTAAGCTGCTCCGAGTCCCCATCGGGTAGATGGTGGTGGGGTAGCAATAAAGATTATTATTATTATTATTATTATTATTATTATTATTATTATTATTATTATTATTAGGTAGGTCTGATGAGATTCAATCTTCATTTGAAAGGATGTTCAGTAGAGAAGTCTTCTGTCTGAGACCTTGGATGAGGTCTGCCAGAACTGATAGATGCACAACTGACTTGGTATAAAGTGAGATTTGTATGTTCACTTTTAGACTGTAGTTACTTTGTAGTGAGCCAGCCAGCTTGTGATGCTGAATTAGACATTCTGGTTTCTTCCTTTCTTTTGCAGCTGTGTGCTTTGTGTATGGTGTGGCTTGCTTTTTTCATTTCATCTCTTGCCATTTCTTCCATCAACATTCTGGCATAGTTGTTGATTTCTGCTACACATATCATGCTCTGGACATTGTGGGTTGGTCTTTTGGGGGTGGGTGGGACTTCTTGGGCCAAGAATTTAGCCTTTGGGATATGTCTTTGGACTTAGAAGTTTCCTAAGTTCTAGTTCAATGATGTCATATTTTTGCAGGGGTTTTCTCTGTCCTGTCTTGCTTATTGAACAGCTTGTGCAAAGGCAATGTTTCTCCCGCAGACCGCAAGAAAGCTCCATAGTCTGTCTTGGTCTCAGTGTATTGGCACTGTGAAATAACCTGTCTTTATTTGAATGTATAGTGATGTATACAAATGTATAATAACGTATACTCTCTGTCCTTTCAGAACACTACTGAGAGTAACCCCTGTGCCAAAAGCCTCTTGATGTCTGATAGACTACAGATAGTTCTGATCATGTCTAATTTTTTTAATGCTACGTGGAAAAAAGCAAATTGTGCAAGTATGTATTCCCATTTTGCAGTTTCTTGGCCTCCTGTATACAAAGTAACCTGTATCATTTTCATGCCTGTACAGTGCGTATTTACCCAAATGATTATTTTCAAGTTAATTGTGCTGGGAATAAAGAGGTACTTAACAATGTCTTTCTTCATTGGCATCAGTTTACGTATGAAACTAACGGGCTCCAGGAATAAGTATGTTCTCCTGCCCTTAGGATTGCTTGGTACTAGACATGGGGACTAGAAAGAGGACCATTTTAGGGGATTCTGGAATTTTATCTCAAGGAATCCCTGTTGGTCCTATAAAGCTTTAGGTGTCACATAAAGGCTTGGTTTGCAAATAGAAATAGACCACAAATTCTGGTTGCATAAAACTATTACTTGAATGGGCTCATTCTTTCCTCTTTGTTCAAACAGAAGAACATACTACCGATGTGCCCCTCCCCACATGTTTCCACGTTTAACTTTTCAGATTTGATTATTCATGTATTGTATTAATATGTTTTCTCTAATGAAATGTGACTCTAAAGCCAGCTTCTACATGAATGTGACCATAGAGTTGCATTGGAGGAACTAGAGAGAATACATCTCTAGATATTTGTTGGTCCTCCAGTTCAATTCTGTGGTTAATCTCTGTGGAAGTTGACCATAAACTTGCACTGGAGGACCTAGAGATTCCTAATGAGGGGTTTTCTCAGGTTAAAAATAGCATTTTAAAAAATTGGCAGTTCTCCCACTTTTACAGGGATTATCTTTCCCTAACCCCAACAAAAGGGCCTACTACAGGCAGTCCCCAAGTCACAAATAAGATATGTTCTGTAGGTTTGTTCTTAAGTTGAATTGTATGTCAGTCGGAATAGGTACATTATTTAAGTATACTGCATATACAGCTAGCTAGCTAGCTTTGGTAGCATAGGTGTTTATTTTGCTGCCTGTGCCCCTGTTTGGAAGTTTTCCCCTTCCTTTCTGTCCCTGTGATGATCGGATTTTGACAAATTTGGCTTGTTGTGGAAATAAGGATTGGTGATTAAACTTCAGTGGAGACACATTTTCCCCATGATAACTCTTCCCAGAGTGAATTTCCTTTCTGAGGGGTAAATTTCTCTCACTTCCTGTTGTCTCACCCCCCGTTCTTAACTATGAGTCATTTGTAAACTGGATGTTTGTAGCTCGGGGACTGCCGGTATGTAGTTGACTGCAGGATTTGAGTTTATTATCAGAAACACTCTGCCCTGTTTGAGTTCATTATTAAGATGTTTCCCCATGATTTGGATTTTGCATATGGCTCACATCTAGCTGTTTTATAGGAAATTTAGTGAAATACCCAGCCAGTGACCCACTAGTGGATTCTCATGTCATATAGTCTGTTCTTAAAGTCAGACCATCAGAAACATATCCTCAAAATTTGGGGTCATTTTAAACATAGGAAAGACTTTTTTTGTTTCCAGCAGGAGATCACTAGGAAGTTGACTTCTGTGACATTTCCTCCTGAACAAGTTCCTCTCTTGGATGTAAAACGATCTAGAGAAGGTTGAAAACTTGTTGAAATTATAGATAAATTTAGGGAAAATCTCTCTCCAGAGTCTCATGTGGGGTACTGTATCACCCTAACATCTTAACAGTTGCCAATCTCTGCTTTAGTCGCTATAATATCTAAACCATTTGTAGATTTTCCTGTTTACCTGTGCTTCTTTATTTCCTGTGCCTATTGTAGATGTCAGCATCTCTGAGTAGATATTTGATATTGCAAACCTCTAACCTTTTCTTGTTCTCATTCTTTGTAAAGTATGGTGGACATAAGTGTCCCTAAACAACAACTTGAATATTCATCCACCTTATAAAATAAGAATGTGTGACTAAGATATGAAAAACAAACATATGCTGGCCTTTTGAAAGGAGATACAAGGATATATTACTTTTTTGGCCTTCTCTCCACAGATTGTTTGAAGAACAACAGTGAAGGCTTATCAAATAGTACAGTGACATTCCTGGCCTTATTCAATGAATCAATGGCATGCTTTGAGCACAACCTTCAGGTACGTCATACAGTTCATGTGAGAGTGAAGTTGAACCCTCTAATATAGCATATATTTGCAATATACAGGACATATAATTCAGAAATTCTTACACAGTTTTGGCAGGTAGAACAATTATCTTTCAAATGCAGGTGTTCACTACTGAAAGAATAAGATGCATTCTAATTAACGTTCACCTCCATCTCATAAGCAATTATGGTGCTGTTTTGGTCTCACAATAGTTGGTAATTATATAGGAAGAGTCGCACAGTCTCTGCATATAGTAAATCACTTTCTTTCCTTATTCTGGGCCTAGTAACCTTAGAATTTAAGTATATGGGTCTTCTGGTATTTTGATGTCATTTTCGCTAAGCCCAGATAGCTGAATATATTTTGAAATTTGAGTTTTAACATGTTTACATATGGATGTCTAAAAAGTATAGTACTTGATACAACAAGATGTAATGATAGTCATCAGACTGGGCCATTTTGAAAGGAAAGAGATTCATGTAATAGAAGGCTTTCTGTGGCTACTGGCCGTATTGGCTATATATTTTGAATATGAGAAGAAGTAGATCTCTGAAAACTCAGTGCAGGGGAGCACAGGCATATTTTACTGCAGGCTTCTTCTTCTTATGCTATTTGTATCCGACTTTTTTCTCTCCATACGGACACTCAAAGTGGCTTACAGCTAAGAATCGCAATACAACTTAAAATATACCAATATACAAGTATAAAAACAGTATTTAACATAATTAAAAACATATAAAACTACAGCAGTCCCTGACAATTTAAAAAACTTTCTTCTTTAAAAGCCTGCCTGAATAAAAAGTGTTTAACCTTCCGCCGGAAGGACAGCAGGGAGGCGGCTATTCTGGCTTTCCTGAGCAGGGAGTTCCAGAGTTGAGGGGCAGCCACCTAGAAGGAAGGCCCGCTCTCTCGTTCCCACCAGTTAAGCTTGAGATGGAGGTGGGACCGAGAGAAGAGCCTCTCCTGAAGATCTTAGGCCCTGGGCAGGTTCGTACAAGGGGATGTGGTCGGCCAAATAGCCTGGACTTGAACTGTTTAGGGCTTTAAAAGTCATTAAAGTCAGCAATTTGAATTGTGTCTGGAAACAGATTGGAAGCCAGTGAAGCTGCTTCAACAGGGTGGTTGTCGCTCCCTTTAGCCGGCCCCAGTAAGCAACCTGATTGCAGCTCTTTGGATCAGCTGAAGTTTCCAAGCACTCTTCAGAGGCAGCCCCACGTAGAGTGTTCTTATATGTGTTTAGATTCTAATGGAAGAAGGAATCACACAGATTTAGAATAAGGGAAGGAGAAAGTTAGTATTGGAAAAGTTGGAATTAGAAGAAGCAGGGCCGTAGCCAGAAAAAAAATTTCGGGAGGGGTTGAATTGGGGGGGGGGGGTTTGAAAATTTCACGGCGGGCCCGCAGGGGACTCAGGGCGGATTACAGTGTACACATATATGACAAACATTCAATGCCAATTTTTGACATACAAACATATACAGACATACACAGAGGCTATTTAACTTTTTCTGGCCGCCAGGGGAGCTGTCGCTTTCCTCATCCATCTGCGACGCTGATGAAGCACTTCCGCATTCCCCGCATGCTTCCCCGCTGGAATGCTTTGCTGGAGTCTTCTTTATGGCCTCATAAATCAGTTAATTTAGCCTCCCCACACTTTAAGGTGGTACCTAATTTTCCTACTTGACAGATGCAACTGTCTTTCGGGTTGCAAAGGTCGACAACAGGCTACACAATTGGTTGGAAACCCACTCCAACCCGGGCTGGCTTCGAACTCATGACCTTTTGGTCAGAGTGATCTTAATGCAGCTGACACTCAGCCAGCTGCGCCACAATCCCCGCAAAGAGCATAGCAGGGGGCAGAGCAGCCTTCCATAGCCTGCAGCTCCGCCCCTGTCAACCACCTCCACCAAGTCTGGCCTCCTTAATGAGAGCATTCAACACACACACACCCAACTTGGTTGTTTCACTACATCGGCTGTTGCTGCAAGTAATGACAGTGTGAATAAATTGTCAATATTTGCTTGAGATAGTGCTTGCAGTTCTGGAGGGACTCTTAATTTTTTGCATCTCATAGACTTAGCATGGGGATTAGGTTAACCAGTTAAAATTCATGAGTAATCCAGTTTTTTTAAAAAATCTGAAACATTTCAGGGGGGGGGTTGAACCCCTAAAACCACCCCCTCGCTACAGGCCTGAGAAGAAGGGATGGAGAGTGATAGCAGAGTGAATGGAGTCCAGAGAAAAAGAGGGGAACCTCTCCCACATTCAAAGTGATCATATACAGAGGACAATGGGCTGTGTGTGCAGTTCTTGGCCTCTGTCAGGATATAGCAAATATAACATGCTATTTGATGTTGCTCTACATTTATTGGATGTAATTTTCTTAATAAATATGTAAAACCTTAATACACCTAGGCTTAAATTATCCTGGTTCTTCCTTGTCATGTGGGAGCAAGTTAAAACTGCAGTGTGTTTGAATAATCCTAGAAGCTACTCTGTGATTGCACATGTTTGCTCAATAATGAAAAGATAGATAATTTTCAGTGCATGTGTGTATCTTTCCTTCCCCCTTCTTTTGTTTGTCGGTGATCAAAGCATTAAATGTTAATATGTACTGCAGTGATGGATTCTGCAATAACAAAACAAATCACTTATTGTTGATGTATAGTCATTAGTGTAACTGTTTTGCATTTATGTTGGAATAGTCAGTAGCTATTGAATAATGAGAGTTGTCAGCAGGAGGTAAATGAAAAGAGTAGATGAAGAGTTGGTCCAACATGGATATACCGAGAGCATAGAAACATACAAATTAAATTCATCCACAGCTCTATAAAGAGATTCTGTTGTTTCTTAATTTTCCTCCTCCTCTGATTTAAACTGATACATCCAATTTCTTCTTAGGTTTTTACCTTATCACCAATATGTTCTTCTCTACCTGCCTGTAGTATAAATTAGTTTTCCTATATTCTTCTTAATGGTTGCCCCCATCTGCTGAAATACCCGTCCTCTCTGTTTTCTTTTGCTGTTAGGCAAAGACATTTTTGTTTAAGTAGGCTTATAATGTTGTTGTTTTTTTTAAAAAATTCAGATGTTCTATTTATCTTTTCAAACTTTGATTTGTTGTTGGAATGATTTAGAATGTTTGTGTGGTCCTTTTGATTGTTTTAAAATGTTATTGTAAATATTTTAAAATCTCTGGAACCTACCTTGGGTCCCACTTGTCAGAAATATTAAAAATTAACTAGGTATTTTTAATTATAAAAATGTGAGTCAGACACTGAAAGGGTTAAATGGATGCAGTGACTCAGCAAAAGTGGCAGTTCAATATAAGTAGGTGTGCCTGTAGCTTAGGTATCTCTTAGTGTTAGTTGCCCTCTGTATGAAGAGGCCTCAGTGTGAGAGGCCTCGGTGTTAGTAGGTCTCAGTGTAAGGATGGCCTGGTGTAAGAAGGCATCGGTAAGAGAAGCCCCAGGTTAAAGCCTCATGTGTAAAGCTCCAGTGAGAATGGCTGCTGTGTGTAAAAGGCTACTGTGTGAAGCTCCTGTGTAAGTTTAGTGTGAGAAGAGACTGTGAGAGTGAAGCTTTTTTATTTGCATGAGAAAGAAGCCCAGCATGGAAGCAAAGAAGGAAGTATAAAGAACTTTATTTGTGTTATGGAAACCTTATTCTTGTAAATCATGCAACCATATTATTTTGCTGTAAAGAAAAGCCTCCTAAGGAAGATATAACATTGGTCTGCATGTTTTTGTTCTTTTTATCACTTTTGGTTACTGGAGCTGAGTCATGCTGCTGCTAATAAGTTACTCTGCTGTACCTTTATGAGGAGTGTTTTTTTGTTAATAAGCCCACTCGCCCAACACCACTCTGAGGGAGAGTTGACATACAGATAAATGAATGAATGAATTATTGTAGTCATGGGTTATGCATCAGAATCAGGTCTACTTTCTAAATTATGATGCTGAAAAACGAATATCCCCTTTGTGTCTGTAGAGGCAGGAAGACAGTCGGCTCCTAGGTAACATCTCAGATGTGTGCAAGAACTGCAATGCAACTTACAGAAAATTGAATGACATGTACAACAGTATGCAAAAGAGTGGGAAAGAAGATGAATCCGAGGAAGAGTTCCACTTGTGCATCGATGTAGAAGATGCTGTAAGTTTTCATGCTTTTGTTGTTGTAGGCCCCCATTCTATCATATCACCTACTGTTTTGACTATAGGATTGCAGTTGGTTATATTTTACAACATTGCCACAAGGCAAAATCAAAAGCATTTTGATTTATGCTCGAAATAATAATACGACAATGTGGTAACCAAATGTGTAAGAATACTAAAGCACAGAAACGGGCAACCAAATTGGTCAGAATGTGTTACTTTAACAGAAAAGAAATTCCAGTATTGGAGGCACTGTGAATGCTTATAGGGCACATGCTTGCAACTCTTAAAAATGGTGTTGGAGATGGATCACTAAGAACCTGTGGAGAAACTACCAGTGCAGCCAGAGTGCTTTAAATGAACCTAAAGAACAATAGGAGCCCCGAAACACATTTCTTTCTGACCCTGCACAAAATACTGATCTCCCATGGTGAACAAATTTGTGTTTTTAAACGACAAGTCCTTCTCTCCTTGTTAGATGAACATCACACGAAGACTTTGGAGCACCAGTTTCAATTGTTCTGTCCATTACAGTGACACAGTGCCAATGATTGCTGTTTCTTCATTCATTCTCTTTCTACCAGTTGTTTTCTACTTGAGTAGCTTCCTTCACTCGAAACAGAAAAAGCGTATCCTAATGCCATGTAAGTTTGTCTTTTTTAAACTGTTGAGTCTATTTTCTTGCAATTAAAAGTTGGTTATTTGTGGTGGAACTTTTGCATTGATAGAGTTCAGCTTTTTTGGTTTAGCCAGAGTGGCCTGTGGACCTCAGAAGGGCTTATCCTGAAAACTAGTTCATTTAGGCCAAAGGTAGCTGGAACGGTTGTGACATCAAGTACCATATATACCTGAGTATAAGTCAAGATTTTCAGCCCCTTTTTAAGGCTGAAAAAGCCCCACTCGGCTTATACTTTAATCAAAGTTATTTATTATTTTACTGGGTTATTATTATCATTACATTTATATTACATTATTATTATTATTATTATTATTTTATTATTATTGCATCTATTATTTTACTCTATTTTTACATTTATTATTTTACTCTATTTTATTACTACATTTATTATTATTTTACTGTATTATTACATTTATTATTTTACTTTATTATTGCTGTTATTATTGCATTTCCATTATTTTACTCTATTATTATTTTTATTACATTTATTATTTTACTCATTATTATTGGAAGATACGTATGCACATTTACATTGAAGAAGGTTAGAATAATGGTTTAATCAGAGTTAGACAGTTACCTTAAAATACAGTTTTATGTAAATATTCAAAAGCATTAACTGATGTTTCAATTAATGTAATTTTATTGATATTAAATTTTTATTTTGAAATTTACTAGTAGCTTCTGCTTTCCCCACCTTTGGCTTATCCCAGTTTTTTGTGGTAAAATTCAATGCCTCAGCTTATATTCGGGTCAGCTTATACTCGGTACTTAGTTCAAACCCATGCTTTTGTAAATAGATTTCGCTGTGAATGTAGGCGGTAGGATAGGTTGGATTTACATAGTTTCTATCCTAGAAGACGTGAAGGCCACAGAAGTTTATGCTATGTTATGCTTTCCTGTCCACATGGTCTGATGTGACAAGGATAAAGTGATAAACGGAGGAATGATGACATTGCCCCTCCATAAGGAACCTCCTCCCACTCTCCTGGGAAATTTTCCTGTGCTCCTCAGATTTGTAGCATTCATTAGCTGCCTTTACCGAGAAAAGTCTGGCACATGGGACTAGTTTGGCAGTTGTGTTTGCTGGTTTATATCTCATGTGTGGATTTATTTATTTGTTTATTTAAAACATTTATATTCCGCCCTTCTCACCCTGCAGGGGACTCAGGACGGAGCACAACATATATACGGCAAACATTCAATGCCATCAATGCAAACATAAAACCATAAATATATACAAACATTAAAATCACTTATATTCACATTAAAAGTTGCTTAAAAACCATCTCAGTTTGGATGCATTGCAAACAAATGAACAGAGTCAGAGCTCTTCTATGCGAGTCCTAACTTTCTCTTTTTCTTTCTAGCCAAGAGGTTCCAGTCAAATGATAGTTCGGTGAACATCCAAGAAAAAAAGCACTGAACCTGCAGAATGCAAGCTGCTATGGGACATATATCATTGCTCTGATGGAGATAATAACAGTTTGGAATTGCACTGGATTACAAAATGTTAAACGAGACATTGTGTGACTCTGAGACGGGTACATGCACTGAAGTGGCAAACATTTTTCCCACTCTTTGGGGCTTTTATTGTGAAAGGAAATTGAAACTTCTTCCTTCTTTTGGTACTGAGCTTTTGTCTCACTTGATTTCTGATTGGTGACTGCTGAATTATGTCCCCATGTTTCCCTTATACATTCCTATTCTTTGCAGTTTATGACTGATAAGAATCTAATTTTAATTTTCATGCTCCCAGCCTTTATTATGACACAATAACATTCTTGTTTGTCTGTGATATTTTTTAAAAGATGAAATTAGAGCTAATGCCTTAATTGCTAACAGTATTTTCCGCTGACCAGATCACTAATCTTGATTCTCTAACCAAATCACTGGTTGCAGTGCTGCTTAGATATCTGAAATAGTTTCTTTAGTGTTCATGTAATTATTTCTGGAACTACTGGTCGTTTCAATTAAGTGGTATTTAGAATTCTGTCTTGGCCAGAATGCTGTGCTCTTGATATTACCATAGATCGGGTCCAGTAAACAGAGTCACTTCTATTACTTTGGGTAAGGGCTGTGTGAAGATTATGCTCATTGAATCACTGTTAGCTAATCAGGTTCCTTTTATCCAACCCGGACTACAAGTGTCAGAACCCTCTGGTTAGTTGGCTGGGGAATATTGGAAATTGTAGTACAACACACCTAGAGGAATTGGATTGGGAAAGGCTGCTCTCAAGCTTTATAGAGTGGCTTTATATTTAATGGTACGTGGTTTAAATATATTTATTAGAATTACAAAAGTATTTTTCTCTTTTTGTATATTGGAAAAAATATCGCTGGACATACTGAATTTTGTTTGGTCTGAACTTGTTTGGACCTAAGATATAAAAAAGGTAACATATATTTTATGGAAAGTGATGGTTTTTTCATACTTAAGTGTTCTGAAAATGTATTAATATGTCAATATTTTATTAGCAAAGGAGCAACATAGGTTTTTCTACTGTTTTAATAAGATATAAAATATACTTAAAAGACCCTGAATTTTAGAGTTGTAGGGTCTTTGTGGTAGACCTTTGTTACCCAGACCACAATACAACAGGTACATTTCGGATTCATCTTAGAGTTCCCGAGAGGATACTGTACACCTCCCCTCCCCAGTTGGGAGATTCAACTGACAACTGTAAGCTGCCATTGTTCAGTAGAAAGGCAAAAAGGATGCATTAGAGCAGTGGTTCTCAACCTGTGGGTCTCCAGGTGTTTTGGCCTACAACTCCCAGAAATCCCAGCCAGTTTACCAGTTATTGGGATTTCTGGAAGTTGAAGGCCAAAACATCTGGGGACCCACAGGTTGAAAACCACTGCATTAGAGGCAAATTGTAGAAAGCTTTGAATGCACTGGATCCAAAGCCCCTTGTTTGGAGGGATTTTGAAAGGCAAGAAGGGTATAAAATCTGTTGTGCCAGCAGGAATGAGTCTAGTTGTGTTGAGTTTCATCCCTAGACAGCACAAGTCTCTTGTGTCATCAAATTTGCAGACCCCAATGAGTAGCTAGACTAGAGATATGATTAGGCTGAGGGATTCCCGCCCCCCCCCCCAACACACATTCCTATGAATGTTTCCCTAAATGGCTTTGTCTTTACTCTTCCTCTTTGCCACTGTCTCCTCCCCTTTGTTGATGTAGGAATGGAATTCTTAAAAACTAACTAGGGCCAGCCCTGATTATGACTTGGATGGGAGGCCAAGCAATAATGAATCCTAAGAGATGCAGGCTATATTTCAGAGGAATGAACTGGCTAAATTGCTTCTTGAGTATTTCTTGCCTAAGAAAACTCTTGTGTTTTTCTAAAGTTGACAAGACAATTTGAAGGCATGTCACACACACCATGTGAATAAGAAAATGATATATACACCAATTCCTGAGAAACTGACCTGAGGATTCATGACATTAAAATGTTCCTGCTTCCTTTCACACAGCAAAGCAAATGTATATGCCAACTGCCTCCAAGGTCATACTTGTATTTCTGCTTTCACTATTGTCTCTGTAAGACGTAATCCTGATACAGTTCTTCCACTCTGAAATGTCACTGGGTGCCTTTTTAGCTCTCATTTGGAAATTGTAAGAGTTTTAGTCTAAGATTAGAGAAAGTCCAGAATCAGAACATCACTTGGCCATGCAACTAACCTTGGCATAGTCTCAGCTAACCTATCTCAGAGAATTATTCGGGGGATAGCAAAGGAAAGGGACAATTGTGTATGTCACCATGAATCTATTGGCTGAAAAACTGGCTACATATTAAAGAAACACTTTCCTAGTTGAGACAGTGTGTTTATACATATTGATAATAGTGTTTTGCCAGTATATGATGGGATTAAAGAGGAAAGCTTGTGTATACATTGTCTACTGCGTGTAGAAGAAATAAGAGAGGCGTAATTCCAGTTTTTCAAGGACTATGACTTCCCTCGATCTAGAGATACTATACTGATATTGATGCAGCCTAGGATTGCATTGGCTTTTTTGGTTGTCACCTGTCACTGTTCACTCATATTTCACTTGTGGTCTACTAAGACCTAGATGCTTTTTTTCCATGTCAGGAATGACTTGAGAAACTGGAAGCTGCCTCTTGTGTGAGAGAATTGGCTGTCAGCAATGACGTTGCCCAGGGGATGTCCGGGCAATTTCCATCCCTGTGGGAGGCTTCTCTAATGTCCCTGTATGGGGAGCTGGAAATGACAGAGGGAGCTCAACCCTCTCTCCCCGGATTTGAACTGTTGACCTGTCAGTCAGCAGTCCTGCCGGCACAAGGGTTTAACCCATTGCGCCACCTAGATGCTATTACACATGTACTGCTTTTAAGCTAGGTATCACTTATCCTACAACAGTTCATTTAATTTTTCCTTCCTAAATGTAATGTCTTCTATTCCTCACTGTTGAAATTCATTTTATTGCTTTTGGCCTAATTTTCCAATCTGTAAGGTAATTTTGAATTCTAATCTTATTCTCTGAGGTTTTGGCTATCCTTTCCTAATTTGGTGTCATTGCAAATTTGATAATCATGCCTTCTGTTCCATTACTCAGTACATCAGTAAAGATGTTGAATGGTGTCAGAAAAAATTCTCAGGAACCCCATTAAACATTTCCCTCCAGGATGAAAAGGAACCATTTGGGAGCCTTTTGGGGTTCAGTCCTTCAACCTATCTCTTGTTGAAGGGATACTCCATCTATTACTTTTTTAAAAGCAGCTATTTTTCTATCTACTGTATTGCCTTCGGCTTTCGAGATGTTTGGATTTAGTCAGCAGCTGCCCTTAATAGCATTACATTGATTTGAGGCATCATATGACGGGGAGCAGCTCAAAGCGATCTTTCATTCATGCTGAGAGGGCCTGTGTGCTTGTGGAAAGCTACGGAATGACAGATTTGCTCTCATAAGCAGTGGCTTTTTGAGCTCATTCATATTAAGTAGGTCTGAAAGTCATTATTCTTGGGTATGGTGGTTAAGCACTTGAGGCCAAGGTGGAAGAGGAAAGCTGCTTTTATGATTTCCTTAGCTGCTAAGCCAATAGAAAAGTACTCATGTGATTTTTGTTGTTGTTTTCTTGTTTTAAGCATAAGAGAATGAAAGACATAACTTGTTCCAAAACTTAATGTTATCTTTCCCACATGGTTTAAAATGTTACATTGTGCACTGAAATATTTTTACTGCTGTATAACTTTTATTTTTCAGCCTACTGGATATCAGCATATTAGTAGTAAAAAGCCCCTTTGGGGAGATAGGATGGTATATAAATAAAGTTTATTATTTCTATTAAAAATAAAAAATACTGTCAGATATAATAAAGATTCTTCGTTTACAATCACTTTGTTTCACAGGAGTGTTCTATATCTCTTATTGAGAAGTGGAATGCATGAATAGTGATGGATTGGAGGCATAAGTATGGATGCTGCAAAAACTACTTAAAATATTTGTGTCACATGGCCACTACATACCTTGCATGTTCTGTAGAATTAATCTTAAGGTCAGTCTGAAGGCATGAAGGGTGCTAAAGATGTGTTTTTCATTTTGAATATGCACATTGGGTCAACTAAAATGGACAGACTTGCACAAGTCAATTCATCTGTTTTTTTTTAAGTAATGGGGAATATCATAGAATCAATTGCTACAACAGGTGCTTAGTTACATTGATGTAACTAAGTAAGGTCTTTTGGGTGCAAAGTGGATGACATTTCCAGTCCCATCCCATCAATGAATGTGGTAGCAACAAGAAATTGTGATGGTTTTAATTGTCATAGTTGCAGTCACTAGAACAGTGTTTCTCAACCTTCCGAATGCCTCGACCCCTTCATACAGTTCCTCATGTTGTGGTGACCCCCAACCATAAAATTATTTTTGTTGGTACCTCATAACTGTAATTTTGCTACTGTTATGATTCGTAATGTAAATATCTGACATGCAGGGTGTATTTTCATTCACTGGACCAAATTTGGCACAAATACCCAATACACCCAAATTTGAATATTGGTGGGGTTGGGGGTTGGGGTTGATTTTGTTATTTGAGAGTTGTAGTTACTGGAGTTTATAGTTCACCTACCATCAAAGAGCATCCTGAACTCCACCAACAACGTAATTGAACCAAACTTGGCACACAGAACTCCCATGACCAACAGAAAATACTGGAAGGGTTTGGTGGGCATTGACCTTGAGTTTTGGAGTTGTAGTTTGTCGACATCCAGAGAGCACTGTGGACAATGATGGATCTGGACCAAACTTGGCATGAATACTCAATATGCCCAAATGTGGGCACTGGTGGAGTTTGGGGAAAATAGACCTTGACATTTGGGGGTTGTAGTTGCTAGGATTTATAGTTCACCTACAATCACAGAGCATTCTGAACCCGACCAACAATAGAATTGAGCCAAACTTCCCACACAGAACCCCTATGACCAACAGAAAATACTGTGTTTTCTGATGGTCTTTGGTGACCCCTCTGACACCCCCTCATGACCCCCACCCAGGGGTCCCAACCCCCAGGTGGAGAAACACTGTTTTAAACCAAAGTGTACTCTTATTTCAAGAATGTCATATTGCACACCACGCAATACAAAAGATGGAATTGCTTGGTAACCAGTCGTATTTCTTTCCATGTTGCTTCATCTTAGGTCCATTAAATGAATCCTCTTTACCATTAAAGTCATTGTTGTGGTTGTTGTGGTGGTGGTTGTTGTTGTTACTGCTCTTATGGAGAAAGGGACATGAAAAATTAGTGAGAATGACTTTTGCTCCAAACATTGACTTTTGTTTCTTTTTAAAGGAATCATTGCTGCTTTTATTCATGAGATATGGACCAGTAACAGAGCCTGTCAAACAAGGTTTATAATTGGCATTCCTTCTTAGTATTAAGAGCTCTGAAATCTTCTGAACAATGTAGATTTAAAAGAAACTGCTTAAAGACATTCTTTGTAAAAAAAAAAAAAGACATTATAGATTTAAATTTTCCCCAAAAATTATTAATGAATTGACACTTCTTGAACAGGGAACTTATTTTGCCCTTCACATTTGATGACTAATTTATAACAAAATGGCTTTAAACCAGCGTTAATGGTATTATGCCTGGCTCTTGTGGTCTGCTTAATCAAGTACTCTAGTCTATTTTTCCCCCCATCTCATAGCAATTATGTTCTTCACGCTGAGTATTGTGTTTTTATGGAAATTTAATGTAGATCATTGCAGATAAAGTTTGAAAAGACTGACTTGTATCTTCATGCTAGATTTTTAAACTTTGCTTGTTTCTGAGGCTACCTCTAGTTGCGATCTCATACTTACCACTTGGTAATTCTCCCATGATCTCTGGACAGACGCGGGTGACCCACTCACTTTTATGTTAATTACAGTTTTATATAGTAAGCAGCTCTTCAGAAGCGCTATTTTCCTTCACACTGTACAGCTGTAGCACTTCATTTGCTATGGTTCCATCCTATGGAATCTTGGGGTTTGTAGTTTTGTTGAGTGAGTATATATAATTATCTGCCAAAGGGCTCGAGTGGCTTATCAAACTACAAATCCTAGGACTCCTCAGGAAACAGACATGCCAATTAAGGCATGAGACTTATATAATGTGAAAGAGATCATTGTTTATTTAAGGCTGAATAGAAATATAGCAATGTTACCTGGTAATTTGCAGGAATTATTCACAGATTATGTGTCTTCCTAGGGCTCCCTTGATAAATCTCTTCATAAGAGCTAGGCTTGGCATTAGCAAAGCTCACCATCAGATAGCTGCTGAGCATCAGTGCCCAGGCATGGACTATAGTCAATCCTCCACATTTACTGGGATTAGAGGTGCAGGACCCCTGTGAAAGTGAAAAACTGAATAAAGAAATCCCTATTTTCTTATCTGAGAGCAGATAAGAAAATAAGCAGCCCCCGGTGGCACAATGGGTTAACTCTTGTGCCGGCAGGACTGAAGACTGACAGGTCACAGGTTCAAGTACAGGGAGAGTGTCAGCTCTAGCTCCCCATGTGGGGACATGAGAGAAGCCTCCCATAAGGATGGTAAAACATCAAAACATCTGGGTGTCCCCTGGGCAACATCTTTGCAGACAGCCAATTCTTTCACACCAGAAGCAACTTGCAGTTTCTCAAGTTGCTCCTGACATGAAAAAAAATTCTGAGAGCATTCCTAAGAATTTCTAGAATTTTCCACTACAACTTGATGGTCAACTTCGACTGGAAACTGATCATAAAATCTCATTGGAGGACCCAGAGAGCTGTTCTCTCTAGCATTCCTTTCTAAGTGATTGCAGACTGCATCCTTAATTGTCTGCTCCAGAATCTTTCCTGGTTTTGAGGTCAGGCTGATGAGATGGTAAATGTTTGGGTCTACATTTTTCCCTTTCTTGAAGGTAGGGACAACATTTGTCCTCCTCCAGTCTGCTGGGATTTCCTCTATTCTCCAAGAAATCTCAAAGATGATTGCCACTAATTCTGCAATCACTTCTGCTAGTTCTTTTAATACTCTTGGGTGTAGTTCATCTGGCCCTGGAGGCTTGAATTCATTTGGAGTAGCCAGATATTCCTGGATTCCTTCTTTACCTATTTTGGGCTGCATTTACCCCATAAATTTGTCCACTCTGTATTGCTCAGGTTGAACACCAATCTCCTTTTGGGAGAAGACTGAGGCAAAGAAGGTGTTGAGCAGCTCTGCCTTTTCCCTATCTCCTGTTAGCATTTCACCACCTTCTCCACATAGAGGCCCTACCTTTTCTTTTTTCTTCATTTTTCTACTGACATAACCAAAGAACCACTGTGTTGTTGAAGTCTTTCATGGCCAGAACCACTGGGTTACTGTAAGTTTTTTAGGCTGTATGGCCATGTTCTAGAAGCATTCTCTCCTGACGTTTCACCTGCATCTATGGCAGGCATCCTCAGAGGTTGTGAGGTCGGTTGGAAACTAGGAAAATTGGGTTTATATATCTGTGGAATGTCCAGGGTGGGACAAAGAACTTTTGTCTGTTGGAGGCAAGTGTGAATATTTCAATTAGCCACCTTGATTAGCATTTGATGGCCTGACAGTTTTTAGGTGTGATTTGATTTCTTACTGCCTGGGGGCATCCTTTGTTGAGAGGTGATTAGCTGTCCCTGTTTCTTGTCTGGAGTTCCCCTGTATTTACTCTTAAGATTTTAGAATTTTTTAAAATATTGGTAGCCAAATTTTCATCGTTTCTTCCTTTATGTTGAAATGGTCCACATGCTTATGGATTTCAATGGCTTCTCTGTGTAACCTGACATGGTAGTTGTTTGAGTGGTCCAGCATTTCTGTGTTCTCAAATAATATGTTGTGTCCAGGTTGGGTCATCAAGTGCTCTGCTATGGCTAACTTCCCTGGTTGAAGTAGTCTGCAGTGCGTTCTTTGACTCTTGTTTGGGCAATGCTGTGTTTGGTGGTTCCTATGTAGACTTGTAGATCACCAAACACAGCGCCCAAACATTCACACCTACCTCGAATAGACAAGAGTTTTTTCTCTCACCCCATTTTATAGTTTCCAACAGACCTCACAATTTCTGAGGATGCCTGCCAAAGATGTAGGGGAAATGTCAGGAGAGAATGCTTGGTGAAGCATCAGCACTCTTTGGCAGAGAGGGCTAAAATGTGGGCGAAAGGTCAGGATAGAATGTTTCTGGAACATGGCCATACAGCCTGAAAAACTTATAGCATCCCAAAGAACCACTTATTATTGCTTTTAATCTCTCTGGCAAGGCTGAGCTCATTTTGCGCTTTAGCCTTATTAATGTTTTCCCTACATATGTTGGTTATTTGTTTAAATCCCTCTTTGGTGATTTCCATTTCAGTTGTGCCTTCAGTGTCTCACTGTTAAGAAACTCCCATCCCTCATTAACCCCTTTCTCTTTTAGTATTCCTGTGCATGGAATCACGCTCAGTATTTCTTTAATTTTCCTAGACTCTCCTAAAGTCTAGAATGAATGTTTGACTTCTCTTAGTTTCACCCTTCATTTGTATAACAAACTCCAGGAGCACATGGTCACTCCCACCGAAGGATCCTACTACTCTCACTCTATTTACGAGATCCTCAGTGTTGGTTAGGATCAGATCAAGAATAGCTGATCCCATCGTTGCCTTTTCTACCTTCTGGACAATACAACTGTCTGCAAGGCAAGTGAAAAATTTGTTGGACTTTGTACTCTTGGCGAAGTTTGTTTTCCAACAAATATCAGAGTAGATAAAATCCCCAATTACTACTATATCTCTTCTTTCTGCATGTTTGGCCATGTGGTCAAGAAAAGCTTCATCGAGGTCTTCAGTCTGGTTTGGAGGTCTATTTTCAATCAGAAAAGAGAACTG